GCGGGCTCAGGCAATCCACTCACCTCAGCCTCCCAAGGTGCAGGATTACAGGCTGAGCCAGCAAGCCCAGCTCATCTCTTTCCTTTCAGTGTGAGTGATCTCTCTCAGCAATCAGAGCTGACCAATCAGAGGGAATGTTCAGCATTACCATTAATCAGGGAAGTGCAAATTAAAACCTTAGTAGAATTCTACCCTCAAATTTGCAAAAACTAATTTTTTCTGACAATGCAAAATGATAATGAGAATGTGGAGAAATGGGAAGCCTTATCCATTTCTTGTCAGAGTGTAACTGATGCAACCACATTTGGGGGGAAAATTTTGGCAACATCTAGTAGAGTAAAAATACATGTATCGTTAATTTGGCTTTCCTTTAAGGTGCTTATGGAATCATTAGTTACTAGAGACAGGAGCATTTGTATACCCTAAGCTCTTGACAAACCAGTTAAATCATTTAGATTCTAAATCCTGAAGGAAAAGAACAGACCCTGTGGCTCTGTGGAACTAACCCATGATTTAGAGGTGGGGGAGGGCATGGAGCTTGGAGCACTGGCTCTCAAACTTGAGTAGGCATCACACTGACCTCACTGAGTTGGTGAACCACAGGCCACTGGATCCATTCCAGAGTTCCTGATTTTGTCAGTCTAGATGGGTCCTGAGGCTTCCTGTTTCTCCTAAGTTCCCAGGTGACACTGATGTCGCTGCTCTGGGGGCAACATTTTGAGAACCACTGTCATACTAGGTAAAAGCCCTGGCAACTGGCTTGGGCTGTCCTGGGTTTAGCAACCTGCTCTTTCCTTCATTAGCTGTATAACCTCAGCAAAATACACTTCCTAAGGCTCAGTTTATTTGTAAATTGGGTAGATAACAGAATCCACTCTCAAAGAGATTTTGTGAAGAATAAGATAATGTGTAGAAAGAAGCCTCTTAGCATGGGGCTGTCATGGTGTAAGTGTTCAATAGCTGTTAGCAATTTTCTCACTTCTGCAGAACAGCAGTGTCACTTCCTAGATATACAGTCCAGAGACATTCTCACATGTGTATGTAGAGAGACTTACGGAAGAATAGTGCTTACAGCACTGTTTGTAATAGTGAAAAATTAGAATCCATATCCTTTAACAGTTAAGTGAGTTGTGGAGTGAGGGAGCCAGAACTAGAGCATGGATAAAACTTAAGAACACTTGAGGACTGAAGTGCCCCTAATGATGGCATCTATAATTTACACCAAATATAAAAACATGCAGAGTGATGCTAATTATCATTTATGGATACATGTGTATGCTGTAAACAAGAAAACATATGGGAGTAAAAAGACCAAACTGAAGCCGGAGAATCTCTTTGGGATGGCAGGGGAGTGTACTTGGAGTGGAATACACAGCGTCTTCACATTTGTCTGCAATGTTTTACTTCTTTTACAACAAAACAAAACAAAATTGAAGCCAATATGGCAGCATGCTGTTGAAGTCAGATTTTGGAGTGGTCTGCTCAGGTTTCGTGGCATTATCTCTTATGCTTTTCTGTACTCTTGAAGCTTCTGTTATCTTATTTGGAGTTCTTCTAGCTCAGGATTATCATGTTACCACCTGTGAGCCTGACTGGGTATTGCACCTGACTCTAAGGTCTTTCATGCTTTTTAATGTAATTTCTGTTCCGAAATCTACATTGTTGGTTCTGGACAGTCAAGCATCCATGTCATCCAGTATGAATGTATTTATAATTTTTTTTTTTTGAGTCGGGTCTCAATTCCAAAATTTCGCCTAGGCTGGAATGCAGTGGCACGATCATGGTTTACTGCAGTCTTGACCTCCTGGGCTCAAGCAATCCTCTCTCTTCAGCCTCCAGAATAACTGGGACTACAGGTGTGTGCCACCACACCCAGCTAATTTTTAAATTTTTTTGTAGAGATGAAGTCTTGCCTATGTTTCCTAGGCTGGTCTTGAACTCTTGGGCTCAAGTGATTCTCCCACCTTAGCCTCTTAAAGTGCTGGAATTACAGGCATGAGCCACCATGTCTGGCCTATAATCTTTCTGGTAAGCCTTTTTCTTCACAAATATGAATTATTGAGAACTCATTGAGAAGTTATTTTAGTTGCTACTTTTCCGAGACTATAGCCAGTATTCTCAGGTAGTTTCCAGCACCATCTTCAAGTTTTGTTGTTGTTGTTGTTGTTTGAGATAGGGTCTCATTTGTCACCCAGGCTGCTGTACAGTGGTGCAGTCGTAGCTCACAGAACTCCTGGACTCCAGTGATCCTCCCACCTCAGCCTTCCAAGTAGAGCTCCCAAGTAACAGGCATGCAACACCAAAATCAGCTAAATTTTAAAATTTTTTTGTAGAGACAGAGCCTCACTATGTTGCCCATGCTAGTCTGGAACTCCTGGCCTCAAGCGATCCTTACACCTCAGCCTCCCAAGGTGCTAGAATTACAAATGTGAGCCACTATGCCCAGCCTACCATGTTCAGTATTGATATGTATGTGTCCAAGGGAGTGGAATAGCTTCTGCAAAATCTCCTTGGCTGATGGGGGTGGCTGTAAGGTGGGAGAACGGGTTCCTAATCCACCCTTGCCACCAGCTTTCTGTGTTGAGTTGCTCAGGGTCTTCATCTGTGAACAAAGAGGTTGGCCTGATGACCTCGAGTGGCCTGCCATTCTGTCAGTCTGTGATTCTGTGAGGTGTTGTGAAGGGCTGTGAGCCTCGGGCATAACAGACAGCAGAGAGAGACTTGGTGGATCCCCCTCTGCCAAGAGAAAATACACCTACCAGCTGCAGTGGGATCAAAATTGGGGAACCGCCCAACAGACAACTGCCCTGCAGCCTGGTACATGACTTAAGCAAAACTCTCTGAATTATCCTCATTACACTTGTGATGAAAATGACTGGCCGCCAGGGAACTTAGGTGAATCTGTGTTGTTTCCAAGGCACTTTCCCACCCAAAAATACCCCTAGTTTTTTTTTTTTTTAATAAAGGAGATGGTTAGCTAGGAGATGCTGCCAGACCCCGTACTGTGGAGTCTGCTGCTCCAATCCTGTGTTTCCGAGTAGCTGCTCTATAGTCAGTAGAAGAGCGTAAGTCAGAAGCCACTAAGCCTGCCAGGCATTAGGAAAAGTGGATGCTGTGCTCTCCAGGTATGACTTGGAGTCTGCTGTCCTGTGGGAGTAGATGGTCTGTTTCCCCACATCACCTTCTGATTGGCCCAGGAATCTAAGCGTGGCTTCCCTGTGCCACACTGAACAGTTATCAAGCTGGAGGCCCCTGATGGCTCAGCCAAACTTTCTCTAGTCGAGCCATGATGCTATTTCTGAAGCTGGAAGGAGGGGATGTGGACAGATGGGACTGGCCACCAAGTCTCTACCCTTGATCCCACAGTAAGTCCACATCTGAAGGAGACTTTCCTGGGGGCAGAGCCAGGATTTGAATCTTGGTCATGTGCCTTAGGTCCCAGGCTTTATGCCTGCATTGCCACAGAGCCACCGGGATGCTGGGGGGCTGTTGCCCCTTGCTACGTGAGAGCCTGGTGTGAGGTGGGCCTTGGTATCCAGGTGACTTGGTGGGATGAGGGTTAGAGTGCAGTAGACTTTTGGGCTAGGAGACAGCTTTGGCCACCAGCTCCAGGATCCAGGTGTTAGGGGCTCCCTCCAGTGGCCCTTTTATAACAACTTTTGTACTCGGTGAGGGTTCTCAGCATGAGAACCCTGTGCCTCTTTTATGGAAGACTTGCAGACAGTATCTATCACATATCAGATGATTTAGTAATTCTGTTCTCAAAGTGTATCATTTGTCTACTCACCTAAAATCTGTAAAGTACTTACTGTGTTACAGACACTTTTTAAAGCACTTGGGACACACGAATAGAAACACAAATCTGTCTGAGTTTATAATCTGTTGGGATTAGGGGAGATAGATAATAATAATCTGAATTGACTGAGCATGGTGGTTCATGCCCATAATTCCAGCACTTTGGGAGGCCAAGGTAGGAGGATCACTTGAGCCCAGGAGTTTGAAGCCACCCTGGACAACATAGCGAGATACAGTCTGTATAAAAAAATTTTTTTGAGTCTGAGTCTCACTCTGTCTCCCAGGCTGGAGTGCATGGCATGCTCATGGCCACCGTAGCCTCAACCTGCTGGGCTCAGGCAATTCTCCCACTTCAGTCTTCCAAGTAGCTGGAACTATAGGCATGTGCCACCACACCTGGGTAAGTGTTTTATTTATTGTAGAGAAGAGGTCTTGTCAAGGCTGATCTTGAACCTCTGGGATCAGGCAATCCTCTCACCTTCGCCTCCCAAAGTGCTGAGATTACAGGTGTGAGCCACTGTACCTGGCTGTAAAAATATTTTTTAAAAAACGACACAGGTATGACCAGGTGTGGTAGTTTATACCTATAATCCCAGGACTTTAGGAGGCCAAAGCGAGAGAATCACTTGAGCCCAGGTATTCGAGACCAGTCTAGTCAATATAGTGACACCTTGACTCTACAAAAAATACAAAAATTAGATGGACTTGATGGCATGTGCCTGTAGTCCCTGCTGTTTGGAAGGCAGAGGCAGAAGGATTGCTTGAACACAGGAGGTTGAGGCTGTGGTGAGCTGGATTGTATTACTTGCATTACTGTCACTCCAGGGAGAGTGAGACCTTGTCTCAAAAAACCGAAAACAAAAAACCCAAGTGTGATGGTGTGTACATGTAGTCCTAGCCTTTCAGGAGGCTGAGGTGGGAAGATCACTTGAGCCCAGGAGTTTGAGGTTATGTTAGGTTATGATCAAGCCACTGCATTCCAGCCTGGGTGACAGAACAAGAAGTTGTTTCTAAACTAATAATAATAATAACAACACAATAAATAGGCAAGTTCTTAAACTTCACTGCTCGATACAGTGACTGCTACTCACACATGGCTACTTAATAAAAATTAAAATTCACCTTCTCAGTTGCACTTGCTACATTTCAAGTGCTCAATAGCTATATGTGGCTCACGACTACCACATTAGACAGCACAGATATGAAACATTTCCATCATTGCAGAAAGTTCTGTTAGACAGCACTGGTATAGAGTATGTTATAGTAATACATACTATTAAAAAATTAAAGATTTTTAAAGAATGGTACAGAGGTAGGGGGGGATTATACTTTTAAATAGGGTGATTGTGGTTCATCTAATTTAGAAGCATTTGAACAAAGGTTGTAAGGAGATGAGGGAGTGGATCCTGGAAATACCTGGGAGAAGACCATTCCAGGGCAGAGGGGGCAGCAGTGCAGAGGCAAGAGCATACTAATTTGGTGGAAGTAGAGTATGCCAAGGGAGACCAGTAGAAAGGAGGTCATGGGGGCAGATCTCAAGAGCTTCATATTACTGCTATCCTATAGAAAGCTATACGGACACGAAGATATGAATAACAAGATGTTCTGGCAGGTGACAGACATGATCATCATTGGGAAATGGTGGCATGTTTATGCAGTGGTTGGCGAGGATGAGGGTAAAAGATGAGGGTTACAACCATACCTAGAAGCATCCTGGAGAGTCTGTGGGCTGCACTGAAAGGGTTATTCTCCCGGTAGACTGGAACAAGCCTGGAGTTTCCTGGGAGCTGGGATCTGAGGTGGCTCTGTGGCCTGTGCTCACTCTGTTCTCAGTCTCCCCTGCCAGAAGAGGCAAGGGCCAGGGGACTGCTCAGGTTCTAAACTCACCCCACTTGGGGAAGGGTCACCAGTGGGGAGAGAATGGGCCCAGAAGCTGAGAGCACACGCCATGGATTACCAGGAGTGACCAGGATGTTGGGGCACAGGATGAGGAACTGTGCACTGATGGGGAAGAGGTAGTGTAGTTTCTCTGACGATCCTCCTTGTTGCCCCCTCACCCATATTTTCCTGGCAGCGAATGGTCAAGAACCTGGAGAAGGAGCTAGCACTGCTGAAGCAGGAACTGGCCATCCATGACAGCCTGGTAAAGGGCTAGAGACAAGGGAGGAGAGGGGAGATGCTGGGGTAGGGGTAAGACAGCATGGTGGGTCAAGGTCAGGGAGGGTGGGGCAGGCTGGGTGGTTGATAAGAGGCATAGTTCTCCAATGACTTGCCTGGGCTGATGTTCATGGTCCTGGGGGGCCTCAAGGTAGAGGCGGGCCCCATTCCCTTCCTCATGGGACACAGCAGCAGATCATTCTTGTCTGAAGTATCAGGCCCCATGTCCAGAAGCCTTTCCTTCCCTCCCTTGCCCCATTATCCCTCTCTGACCCAAGTCCTGGCTCTCTGCCAGGACTGGATGATGAAGGGAACAGAACCAACTTGGGCAGCCAGGGCCTGTGCCTAACCTTCCTTCTTTGGCTTTCAGAATGGCCCCTGCCACCTCTGCTTGGGCTCAGGTCCTCATTGTTTCCCATATGTTCTTTATCCTCCTTCAAGGCCAACCGCACCTTCGTGAACTATGACCCCATGGATGAAATCCAGATTGCTGAGATCAACTCCCAGGTGCGGCGGTACCTGGAAGGGACACTGGATGAGATTGATGTAAGAAGACCCTCCGTGGGACGGCCATGCTCAGCTGGCCTGGCCCTCCCTGTCCTGGGCACAATGTTTGCTATGCTAGCCTTGGAACTTCACAGTGGTTGCAGGGGGTGGAGGGTGGTGCTGGACCCACAGTGTCAGAGATCCTTCAACCCATCTCAGGGGCTTAAGCACAGGCCTCATAATCCTTCCCAGGATTGAATCCCAGATTGCTACGTTTCTGCTAAGTAATCTCAGCAAAATGCTCAACCTCATGTATTTCCATGGTCTCACCTATACAGTGGAGAGGGAAACTGTGCTGGGATTAACTGAACTGCTGCACCTCAGGTGCTTGGCTATGCACACAGAATGAAGCTGACAAAAGATGGCAGTTATGCTGGTTGTATACAAAGCAGATAGACATCGAGGCCCATGTTGGAGTGGGTCAAGAAGGGGGAAACAGTAGCCCTGTGGGAAAGATGTGTCCTGTTTTTACAGTGGAGGCCATAAAACCCCTCATCTGGGAGAAACATGGGCAGGCCCCCTGGCTGTTACTGTGGGCGGCTATAAGATGCAGGCCTGGGACTACTGAGGGGTGGGCTCTTCTGCCTCCCAGGAGGGGCAGTCCCAAACTAACCCTTGATCAAGGGTAATAATACTGTGGGTGTTGAGGCCAGGAGGGAAGTTGATGACCTTCCTCCAGCCACAGATGTGTTCAGCCACACAGAAAGGTTTGTCATTGGGCTCCATCTGAAGACAGCAGACTGAACCTTTTGATAGCAGGAGAAAGCTGAGGAAATATATATTTTACTTTTTAAAAATTTCAAAAGTATTTTAAGGTCTAGAATCATTTTCATTTTATTTATTATTATTATTTTTTAAGTCGAAGTCTCACTCTGTTGTCCAGGCTGGAGCTCAGTGACATGCTCACAGCTATTGCAGCCTTGACCTGCTGGACTAAGGTGATCCCTGTCTCAACCTTCCAAGTAGTTGGGACTACAGGCACGTACCACCATACCCAGCTAATTTTTTAATTTATTGTAGAGATGAGGTCTCACCAAGTTACCCAGGCTGGTCTCGAACCCTTGGGTTTGGGCAATCCTCTCAACTCCACCTCCCAAAGTGCTGTGATTACAGGTGTGAGCCACCATGTCTGACTTCATTTTCATTTTATAGAGATCTCCACTTAGAAAAGGTGGTTTTTGTAACCTCAGTAAATACTTGGTTTTAAAGCTATTAATCAAGTGTTCCTCTGCTCTTGAGAAGGGCTTAATGCTGTTTGCTGAGAGACTATTGGCAGATATCCCCTTCTGCATATAGCTGGTCTAGGCGTCAGCCAAGAGGTCCTGATTTCTCTGTTGACATAGACACAGCCTGGCCCCACAGTGTCTGTGGTCTAATCTCTGCCTTGCTCTTCACTCCAGATAATCAACCTCAGACAGATCCAAGAGGTGTTCAACCAGTTTCGGGTTGTTCTGAGGTGAGGGACCCCGCCCCCCACCTCACTCCTATATCAGGCTGCCATTTCATTTTCCATAATCTGGACATTTGCCTCAAAGAGCACTCCATTTCTCTTTCATGCCTGAGGAACCAGAGCAGAGCGTTTGGGGGTGTGCCCAGGTCCCTGGTGGATGTTTACTGAGTTAATTAATTAGACAGCCATGAGTGTTTATGGAGTACCAGCCCTCGGTGTTCCCAGAGCAGGGCATCGTGAATCTTTCGCACTTCCCTACCTCAGGAGACTGATTTATTTGGATGCAGACATAACTGTATCCTGAGCAGCTGTGGTGGGTGGTGTCACAGAAACTGGTCATATGATTTCAATTGGCCTGTTAGAGACAGAACCTAGGTTGGGAAGTGTGGTGTCAAGTCAGGCTTACAGTCCTTGTCAAATGTCATCTTGGAGTAGATGCACCTGGAACATAAGGGTGGCCCTGCAGGTTTTAGGGCTGGACAGTGGATGTGTGTGTGGGGAGGGGTGGATGAGTCCTTTTGTCTAATCTGGTTCATGATGAGGGTGTGGCTCCATCATCAGGGGCCTTACCCAACAACTTCCAACCCCAGTACTTGGGTCTTGCCCCAGTGGGTTCAGCATCACCCCAGGTATAAGCTGTTTGCTCACTCTCTCTCCCAAGCCAACAGGAACAGGAAGTGGAGTCCGCTTTGCGCAGAAAGTACACACTCATAGACAAGAATGACTTTGCAGCCATTTCTGCAGTCCATAAGGTAAGCCCATTGCCCACATCACTAACCTTAGATTTTCCATCCTCAGACTTTTGCAAAAGCAAAAGTTTCATGCATTAAGCAGATGAGCACAGCAGATGAGCACAGGATGACCCATGCAAGAGTAAACCACTATTTGAATTTTAAATGGTTTCCATAAATTGGAGACATGACTGATAATATACAGCACCAATTCCTGTATTTAGGATAGAAACAGCCTTAAGAGTCCAAGACTATGGAATGATGCACTGGACTGGTGAGGGGGGTTGGTGTGGAAAATAGACATTTGGTAGCGTGGTCAGGGACAGCTCTACTGGGGACAGCAGCAGCCAAACCTTGGTGTGTAGGATGGACACACTCACCCTGAGCCTTGGCCCATGTTCACTTGGGTCCCCAGGGACCCAAACCCTTAATCTAACTCGCAAACCTTTGCCTGGTCTCTCTCTCCAGGCAGGGCTCATGGATGCTGATGGCCATCTAGTGGGCGAACCTGATGGACAAGGCTTTGGACTTGGGGTTGCCCCATTTTCTACCAAACCCGGGAAGAAACTCAAGTCCAGGAAGACAATCAAAGAGCAGCCCAGGTGAGTGACCTTGTTGTTCTGCCTGCTCAGCACCTGGCCCTCCTCAGTGGGTGAACAGGAGGTCATGAGTTTTTCCCATTTTACTCCGATGTCTCGGCTACTAGGTTGTCACAATAGACATCACTGCTGCTAATACTAGAAAATCTGTGGGATCCAGGCTGGGGCTGGTTTGGAACTAACCACAGCACAAGGGTCACCTGTCATCCTCACAGTAACCTAGTAAGGCGGGAATGAATGTCTTCATTATACTGATGAGGAAACTGACACTCCAAGAGGGGAAGTCACTTCCAAGGTCATACCATCAATAAATAGTAGAATCACAGTGAGAAGCCGGATCAGTACTCCAGAGCTCACGTCCCTTGGTACTTTCTATAATACTCCTACCCCCACTCCACTAGGGTCCTTCCACTGACTGGCACTCACCTAAAGCCCAATTCACCTAAAACCCGATTCACCTTTCAGGCAAGACTCATTTGTATGTACAAGGTGGGAAGAGCTCACCCTGCCCAGGATGTGCTGTGTAGTGTGAACAAGAGTACAGGCTCTGGAGTTGACACCTGGGCTGTCCTCTTTGCTCTGTGCTTTTTATACCTAAGGGATCACCTTGCATGAGGCATGAGAACCTCTCTGTGCCTGTTTCTGCATTCCTAAAATGGGAATAATAATAGCATTAAAGTCATTGGGGTTATTGTGAGGCAAAGTGAGTGAATGCAGTCCTTGCACATGGGTCAGAGTTGATTGTCGAAAACTGCTGTGTACAGGTCTAGAGTCAGGTAGCAGGGGGTGCTGATGTCCCAACTTCCTCCTGCCTATTCAGGAAGAACAGACACACCATACCCCTCTCTGTTCTGCTGCCAGGTAATCAATGCCATAATAGATGGGTTGAGACTCAGTCCCCTGAGCCACTCTTGTTGCAAGAAGAAGAAAATAGGAGTAACTGGTGGGAAGAAATATGGGCATCCTCCTATCAGTTCAGCCCTGCTCAGACATGCCTCTCTTGAAGGAGACACTCCAAGAACCATCACTTGGAGGAGGAGGAAATCTACTTGTCTGGGAACTGGTGTGGGCACTAATGGAGGTGTGGAGAACAGGGCATTGACTGGGTAGAGCAGCAGGGCAGAACTGCCTGCTTTATATCATTGGTCTGCAGACAGACCTGCCTGCCCTGGGAGGTAGCTCTGCCAGTCCTTGCTAGGGATGCCTGTGTGACTCATACCTCAGCAGCCATGGTGGCACCTGAAAGCCTGTGGCCTACCCCACAGGTCCATACACTTTCAAGGCATGGAGACTGTACTCATTCTTTCCAGATATCTCCTGCCACGACTGCTGAGAGCTCCGTGTCCTGATAAAAGGCAGAAAAATGCTCTCCCCTTCCTCCCCATCTACATGGCTTAGGGTCATACTCTTTGCCCTTTGACCCAGGTATATGAACAAGATAAGAGCTGAGTGTGGTGGGGTTTCTGGTGTAGTGAGGGCTGAGAAAGGTCATTCACCTCTGCAACTTGTGGTACCTCACTGCCCATGACTAAGTCCTGGGGGCTTCCCTGCCTTCTCCTTCCAGCTCATCAACAAGAAAGGAAGGTGCCAGCAGCCCTGTGAGTGGCAAGGACTTGGATATGGTTTCCCCCTCCAGGAACCAACTGGTCCCATCTTCCAAGGATGGGGATGGCAAAGACATGCTTTTGCGGGACCAGGAAACCTCCAGCATTGAGCCTTTTCCTTTGGACTCCCCAAAGGAGGAATTACGCCCACCCAGGTAACCATCTAATGTTAGATTCTGCTGCAAACCAAAACTAGTGTGTGATCCTCAGAATGTAATGAGTGCCTACAGATAGAAGAGGAATAAAATAGGGGATAATAGGCAAAGACTAGGAGCTCAGTCCCAAAAGAAGAAACATGATGATTTATACACAGGCAAAATGATCCAGCTTCACGAGGCATCCAAGATACACAATTAAGCATAGAATCATTTGAGTCCCTCCAAATAGCAATTATTTAAATAATTAAAATTATATGTCTTTTGCATAAGTAATACATTCAAAAGATACAAAATTCTCAAGGTATGAAAGTATGTAACTCCTTCCCTTTCCTCCAGCCATCCAACCCCCTTCCTTGGTGAGTCAGTAATTGTGTTTTTAAGAATTTATACTAAAAAAACAGAGATGTGGACTAGACTACTACACAAAGATATTCATTGCATCAATAATTTTAAATGCAAAAAAAATTATTTTAGAGACACCATCAATAACCAACATAAGGGAAATGGCACTAAGAGAATCATTATATCTGTACCCTTGGGTTATGTGAGGATATGCATGAAGAATTTCAACCTATGACCATTTCCAAACATTCAGAGAAGTTGCAAAAATAGTACAGTGAATACCTGTACATCAAGTGCCCTCCCAGTTCTACAATTAACATGTTACTCTACTTGTTTCATCATGCACCTAGCCCGTTATCCCTCCATCTTATTTTTTGATGCATTTCAAAGTAAGTTGCTCACATCAATCCACTCCCTCCTGCCCCAACACTTCATCTTATATCTCATTAACTAGAGTTCTCAAAGAGTTTTTAACACCATGAAAGAATGCTTTTTTTTTAAAAAAATAAGTTGTAAAATGATACATACTGCAAGGCCTCATCCATTCAAAAATATATCAAAGAAATCCAGAAGGAGATACTCCAAAGTGTAGTTCCAATAGGTGGTGAATGGTTTTTGTTATGTTTTCTGTTTCTTGCTTTTCTCATTTTCTGTCATGGGCACATGTCCTCGTGTGCTGAGTAAAACAAAGATGACAGAATGATTCCTACACAGTTTAGCTCCTGTCTGGTGTAGGTGGTGCCTAGGACTTCTGCCTCCTGCCCCCCACGGAAGCCCCAGGGAAGAAAGATGAAGGGCCTGGTGGCTCCAAGGCAGCAACCCCATTTATTTCTCCTCCTTGGCATCTCCCTGCATCTCCAGACCCAGCACCCCACCCTCCAAGCCAGTGGCTTTTGAGGAGTTCAAGAACGAGCGAGGTAGTGAGATCAACCGCATTTTCAAAGAGAACAAATCCATCTTGAATGAACGGAGGAAAAGGGCCAGCGAGACCACACAGCGCATCAATGCTATCAAGCAGGAGATTGACGTGACCAAGGAAGCACTAAATTTCCAAAAGTCATTACGAGAGAAGCAAGGTAAATATTATGGAAAGATGGCCAGGGGTCTTTGGGGTCTGTCTTTCTACTCCAAGTGGGGTAGCCTTGGGCACTTGAGGATTGAGGTGGGAAGTGGTCAGCAGGGGGTGCTGGGGTGTGACCTTTACCCCTGGGTCATATCACTTGGCTCTGGTCTGTTGGCCTCTGCCTGTGGGTCCCCCATTATTGCATTATCTCAGCCCTAGGTGCTGGGCCTTTCACCTGGTATCTGCTACTGTCCATGGAGAAATAGGCCATTGGTCCTGTAGGGGTAACCCTGGGAGATGGGTAACTGGTGATTTCCACATGGTCCCTGGGTTCTGGTGTGGTGGTCTCACTGCCCCGGGTAGTCAGATTGGGGAAGAGGTTCTTGAAGGGACTATGGGATACTGGAGAGAAATGAGAATGTGACTCCCAGTGGGCCAGGGGACTCACTATCAGTAACACTATTCCCTGTGCCAAATCCCTGACACTATGCTGACCTGGCAGAGTCTCATCTACTAGGGCAATGGCATGGGGGGGAGGCCCAGGCTCAAAGAGCAGGGATCCTTGTGTGAGGAGGGTGCTTACCTGGTTACCCTGGCCCAGAGCCCTCATCTGTACTGCCCACACCTGTACTGGGGTCCAAGGACCATCAAGCTTGAATGTGAAGGTGACTCATCTGGGAGGGCTGGTCAAGTGCAAATTTCAAGCTCTTCAGCCAGTGGTTCTGACTCAGGAGATAGGGAACAGGGTCACAAACCTGCATTTTAATGGTTGACCATCCCAACTCTGAGGCAGGTGGTTCAGAGGCCACACTATTATATACATTCCTGGCTCAGTCTCGTGGTTTTTTTCCAGACAAGGTGTACTACAGGTTCCTGGGCTTTCCCTTGCTAAATCACAGCCCTGTTCCAGGTCAATTCTCACAAGTGATCTCCAGATGTCACTTGGTGTATTCCTGCAGATTAGATGGATCATTTCATTCACGGGGTGCATTTTACTTATTTACTTATCAGAGAGCAACTTTATTTTCAAATTCTTGGAGCCATTCTGTTTATACCCTACAGATCAACCATGACATACTATTACAGAGGGCAAAGACTTCTCTGGTTCTGAGAAAGTGGGGCAGGTGTCTGGTGATGGTGACTTCAGACATGCCCCTGCCCAGAACCAACCCTCAGGGACGAGTAATGGTGACAGTCTTACAACACCGACAAGCACTTCCTTATCCCCTCTGCCCACAACTCCTTTGAACATACAGCACCTTATTACATATTTAAAGTAAAATACTTGCATGCTATGCTGGCATATAATTTATTCCTAAACAGACCTAAAAATGGACATTTTCAAAGGATGAAATGAAATGAGGAAGAAATAACATTTTAAAAAATATTTAAAATTTTGTCTATCAGTAGTAAAAAACCCACAATTTTTGGTCTTTTCTTTTAAAAGCAGTTGGTTTTCCACTGGTTATTAAAATACCAATAAAATGTATTTATTTTGAGGGAACAGGTCAGTAAATTCATTTTCTCCCTCACAATACCTATGTAAGTAAGTTCATTTTTTAAAACAACTGCTGGACACCTTATGAATGATAGCCACTTGTTGGTCCAGAAAGGTTAGCATCTTTTGAATGCTAGGTTTTTGTTGTTGTTGGTTTTGAGTCAGGGTCTCACTCTTTCACTCAGGCTGGAGTGCAGTGACGTGATCCTGGATCACTGCAGCCTCGAACTCCTGGGCTCAAGCGGTCCTCTCACCTCAGCCTCCCAAGTGGCTGGAACAACGGGCATGCACCACCATGACCAGCTATATTTTAAATCTTTTGTAGAGACAAGGACTTGTCACGTTGCTCAGGTTGGTCTTGAACTCCTGGGCTCAAACAATCCTCCTGCCTTGGTTTCCCAAAGTGCTAGGATTACAGGTATGAGCCATTGCACCTGGCCATGGAACATGAGAAAAAGAAAAATGCAAAATTGTCAGGTATGGTGGCATACGCTTGTAATCCCGGCTACTCAGGAGGCTGAGGTGAGAGGATTGCTTAAGGCCAGGAGTTCAAGACCAGCCTGGGAAGCATAAGGAGACCCTGTCTCAAAAAGAGAGAGAGTGAGAGCAAGAGCGAGAGCGAGAGTGAGAGCGAGCGAGAGCGAGAGAGAGAGCGAGCAAGAGCGAGTGAGAGAGAAAGAGAAGGAAAAAATATGAAATCATCTTTAAAAATCTTTAAATCCAACTTTTTAAAGTTTTTTCTTGGAGATAATCAGGGATCCTCTGGGTAGAACAAAGAGTGTTCACAGTCAGTCTCCATCTCAACAGAGTACTATAAAGACTCTACTCTGTAAAGGAGTTCTGGTTATCAAAATAATCATGTCCCACAGCACAGATACCACAGCAGGTGAGGAACTTGGTGAGAATGGCTCTGGAATCCCACCAACCCAGATCCCAGATCCAAGTCAAGACCCTTGCCTCTCCATCAATGGTGTAGTGACTTTTAATGTGTCTTACTTTCCCCTAATAAACATCAGAGGAGGTGCTGATGCTTTCCTCTAGACCTGAGGGCTGCCTTGTGCACCCCAGACGATACACCTCAGGCAGCAGAACTCACCTCCCCACCTTTGGGAGGTGAGAGTTGATGTGATGACTTTGCTAAGCTTTCAGGTGCCGTGGGCCGTGGACAGCAGCATGAGTGACTTTGCAGACCATATTATTTTGTCATAACCCAGTAATTCTCACTGAACTGACAGACCTTAAAAGGTCCATGCAAAAAGACTAATAGCACAACTGAACCCACCCCCTAAAGCCTTCTGACATCCACTCAATACAATACACATGTCTGATCATCTCTAATAAGAAGGTAGCTGTGAATGTTGAAATCAGCAAGAGACAATTTGAAATTGAAATTATACCCATTGTTATTAATGAGAAACCTTGCCCAAATGTCTTGTGCTAGCTAGTGATGGCAGTTCATGCATAAAATTTATAAGAAAAATAAACAAAGCTGGGATCGGTGGCTCAGCCTGTAATCCCGCGCCTTTGGGAGGCTGAGGTGAGTGGATGGCCTGAGCCCGTGGGTTCGAGACCCGCCTGGGCAGTGAGACCTCATCTCTACAATAAATCAAAAAACATCAGCCGGGCATGGTAGCGAATGCCTGTAATTCCGGCTACTTGGAAGACTGAGTGGAAAGATTGCCGGAGCCCAGCAGGTCGAGGCTGCGGTGGCCGGGAGTGGCCACTGCACTCTAGTCTGGGCGACAGAGTGAGACTCCAACTAAAAAAAAAGAAAGAAAGAAAGAAAGAAAGAAAAATAAACATTTGTATAATAGGAATATTTATTAAATATCTTTGGTGAATAGGATTTAAGATCAAAATAGGCATGGAGCATAGTCCATCTCTACCCTCTCCTCTGCTTTCCTATCCAGTTTGTCCTAACATGTCAGTGTGATCTCACTGATCTGAACTCCCTCTCTTTGTGAGACATAACCTGGCAGCCTGGCCTTCTTGTACTTTGCCCACCTCCTTGCCACACCCCAGCCTGCCTATGGTCTCCTGTCTTCATGATTTGTCAGCTCTATGCCCTCCTTCTGGAACACCTTTCTACCCTTGCGCCAGGTGGACACCTCTTCATTCCCTGACCTTTTCCATCACCTTGCAGGCGAGTACGAAAACAAAGGGTTGATGATCATCGATGAGGAGGAATTTCTGCTGACCCTGAAGCTCAAAGATCTCAAGAAGCAGTACCGCAGCGAGTACCAGGACCTGCGTGACCTCAGGGCTGAGATCCAGTACTGTCAGCACCTGGTGGATCAGTGTCGCAACCGCCTGCTCATGGGTGCGCCAGTTGGGAAGACTGGCTGCCGTTGAGGCCCAGGGAGGCTCAGGGCAAGGCCACAGCTTGAGTTCTGGAAGCATCCTCAGAGGCAGGGGCTAGGCAGAGGCTTCAGATGTGTGGTTTCCAGGATGGTGAGGGCCAGAGATGGAAATGGGGACAGGATGAGGCCCTAGAGCAGAAAGTGAACAGGTATAGACTAGGTGCACACAGTCTTTGCCTGCTTCCTCAGGTTCTGTCTCCTCACTCTCTTGCAGAATTTGACATCTGGTACAATGAGTCTTTTGTCATCCCTGAGGACATGCAGGTGGCACTGAAGCCAGGCAGCAGTATCCGACCAGGCATGGTACCTGTCAACAAGATTGTTACTCTGGTGAGCAGCACAAGGGCAGGGGTATGGCAATGGTTGAGCATGGATCAGTGGGCAATGCCCTTTGTCCCTTGTTTTCTTCACAAACATGGCACTATCAAGGAATGGGGACATAGAAAATTCCACTCTCACTTTTGCCACCCTTCTTGGGTGGCTCATCTTGCCCAGGTGGCAGTTATAGGGTGACTATGGGGAAACTGACAGACATGGGGACTAGAGGGTTGTGAGATACACTGGGTAGGGGTTTGTAAACCCAGCAAAGGACTGTCCTGATGCCTGCCACAGGCCCTGCCAGGGTATATCCTGACAATGCTATGCTAAAGAGAATGTGCTGGATTGGGCCTTCCCCAGGGAGAAGATGACCAGGACAAATTCAACCAGCTGCAGCAGACAGTGCTTCCCGAGGGCCCTGATTCCGTCTCCTTCTACAATGCCAAAGTCAAGACAGAACAGAAGGTGGTAACTCAGGAGGTTCATGTCTCCAGGAGGGTGGTGGCCTCATGGTCCTCATTACTCAGAAGCCCAGGATCACATTCCTTACTTTAGAGAGGTAGGGAGGAATGGTGCCATTCCAAGGGGATCCAGCATCACCTACAGTCAGTAGGTGTCTTGGGTCAACTCCAGCCTGGGATTAAGCTGGACCCTAGAGGGGTCCTACAGACCTGGACATGGTTGGCAAATGCTAAGGCAGCTCATGTGTGGTTCACAGCCCAGGAAAAGGCCTGGGCATCCCATGAGGCCACCATCTGCCAGGGAGGAACTCTCTAACAAAGGCCACTCTGCACAAGTGGCAGGGGTCAGAGGATCACATGCAGCCAAGGCAGAGCTAGATGTGGTGTTAGCCACAGATTGAGCCTGGGACTCTCCTCCCTGAGCAGGCTGGGCTGAAGCAGAGGGTCTCCACTCTGCCAAGGCCCAGCCTAAAGCCAGAACACAGAGGGCCCTATGCACTGTGCACTCCTCTTGCGCAGTGGCAGAACTTATATAGCAGGTGGCAGGTGCATATGGGGAAGCTGCTCAAATAGCTCATTTAAAAAAAATTTCTGTATCTATTTATTTACATATTCAGTAGGTGATACATTCAGGCATTTTAAACATTTAAAAAGCATGGTAGTACAAACACCCTGTCTCCCATCCCTTAGCTCCCACCAACCCCCTCCCTGACAGGGAGCCCTTGTCACTTGTTCTAGTGTTCTCCCTGCACATAGTTCTGCAGTTTGCTTTCTTCACTTAGCAGGACATCCTGAAGACCATGCTATGTCAACCTATAGATGCTTCTGTGTTCTTTTTTTACAGCTGCATAGTAGTATTCCATTGCAAGGATGGATTAAAATTTATCCCATCTCATACTGATGGACATCTAGGAGGTTCCATTTCTTTACTATTACAAATATAGCTATCACAATTAACCTTATACAAATGTGTATTTGTATAGTCACACGTGTGAATATATCTGAAGGGTACTTTTGTAGAGGTGAATTTCTTGGTCAAAGGATGTTTGTATATATATTTTTAAAATCAGGGTCTCACTCTGTCACTCTCACTCAAAAAATTTTGTAAAATAAAAAAAAGCGCACATATATAAACACACGTACATGCATATGAGGGGGGACCCAAAAAACTCTGAATTATCTTTTGGAGGGTGGGCCCCTTGCAGTACAGGCTTCCCTGCTAGGTAAGTGGTCTAGGAACCTGTAGGCATCAGTGTACCAGCTAGCATTGTTGTTCAGCTTCAGTGAATTTTTTTGTGGCAAACGAGTGACTGGTTCTTCTACCATGACAATATACCTGCCCATACCATGCTGAACGTTCAGCAGTTTTTGGCCAAAAATGTTATGACTCCTATGCCCCAACCTCCCTATTCACCCTATCTTGCCCCAAGCAACTTTTTTTTATATCCCTGAATGTAAAAAGTTCTCAAAAAAAGTTTAGCCGATGTGGAAGAGGTGAAACAAAAAATGGCAGAAGCACTAAAAGGCATCAAAATTGACCAGTTGAGGCCGGGTGTGGAGGCTTATGCCTGTAATCCCAGCACTTTGGGAGGCGGAAGTGAGAGGATTGCCTGAACTCAGAGGTTCGAGACCAGCCTGAGCAACATGGTGAGACCTCATCTTTACAATAAATAAAAAAATTAGCTGGGTATGGTGGTGCATGCCTGTGGTTCCAGCTGCTTGGAAGGCTGAGGCAGAAGGATCGCCTGAGGTCAAGGCTGTGGTGGCCTTGAAAGTGCCACTACACTCCAGCCTGGGTGACAGAGTGAGACTCTGACTCAAAAAAAAAAAAAAATTGACAAGTTCAAAAACTTTTGAGCAGTGAGAAAAGTGTATTAATAGGTGTATTTAATCAAATGGAGAGTACTTTGAAGGTGACTGAAGTTTAAACATGTAAGAATAAATACACAAGTTTTTATAGATAAATTCTGGGTTTCTTTGGGTCCCCTTTTGTATATTTATTTGATTGTATGAATTTGGAGAAAGATATAAGCTAGATATATTCCAGTTCATTAACTTGGGTTATCTTGATTTGAGAATTGGGAGAAATGAAGGGAAAAAAAGAAATGAGAGAAAAAAAATAAGAAAAAATGACTACCACCACACCCCTGTAAATTTATTGTGATCCCATATTATATAAAACTACAATTGTTTGTATGTATTTAGATATCTATTAAGAAATTAGGAGGAAAAAGAGCTGAATTTGTGTTTTTTTAAAAATTTTTTTTGAGTCGGGGTCTCACTCTGTTGCCTAGGCTAGAGTACAGTGGCACGAACACAACTCACCATAGCTTGGACCTTCTGGGCTCAGGTGATCCTTCCACCTCAGTCTCCCAAGTAGCTGGAACTATAGGCACCCACAACCAGCCAATTTTATTTTTTGTAGAGATGAGGTCTCACATGTTGCCTAGGCAGATCTCAAACCCTTGGGCTCAAACGATCCTCCTACCTCAGCCTTGGATATTTGTATTTTTGATGTATGCTGTATTGCGCACAAGATACGTTATCCCACTTTTTGTGTTTTTCCAATCTGAAAGATGAAAAGTAGTCTCTCGGTGTAGTTTTCATTTGCGTTTCTCTTATTATAAATGAGGCTGAGTCTCTTTTCCTATGTTTAAGAGCCATTTTAATTTTTCCTTGTGAACTATTCATATTTTTGCCCATTTTTCTACTGGTTTTTATTTTTTCCTTAATTTATAAGAATGCTTTACATATTAGGGAAATTAGCTCTTTATTATATGAGCTACTTTTTCCCGCATATCATTTGTCTATTGACTTTACATATGGTTTTTTGTTGATTTTTATGAAATCAAGTTGTTTTAATTCATTCAGGTTGCTATAACAAAATGCCTTAGCCTGGGTAACTTATATAACAGAAATGCATTGATCACAGTTCTGGAGGCTAGGAAATCTAAGATCAAGGCACCAGCAGGCTTAGTGTCTAGTGAGGGCTTGCTCTGCTTCAAAGATGGTGCCTTCTAGCTGTTTCCTCACTCAGTAGAAGGGCAAAAAGTTAACGAGGATACCCTCAGGCCTCTTTTACAAAGGCACTAATCCCACCCATGAGGGAAGAGGTTTCGTTACATATCACCTCTCAAAGATCCCAACTCTTTATTTTTTTTGAGTTGGAGTCTCACTCTGTTGCCCAGACTGGAGTGCAGTGGCTGCTCCCAGCCACCGCAGCCTCGACCTGCTGGGCTCCGGCAATCCTTCCGCCTCAGGCTTCCAAGTAGCTGGAACTACAGGCGCATGCTACCATGCCCGGCTAATTTTTTTTTTTTAACTTATTGTAGAGATGAGGTCTCGCCTGCCCAGGTGGGTCTCGAACCCGCGGGCTCAGGCAATTCACTCACTTCAGCCTCCCAAAGGCGCGGGATTACAGGCTGAGCCACCGAGCCTGACTCTTTTCTTTCTTAGTTTCTGGATTTTGTGTCATAATTAGAAAGTCTTTCCACTGCAATTGAATTCACTCCACATTTAGGATTCAGCAGACCCCTTTGCTGACTTTATGGCTGTGAGGAACTGAAGCACATTCAAAGAGGCTTGAGGAGAGGGATGTGTGACAGATTCTGAAGACCCCATAGAGCAGCATTTCTTACCCTGTGCCATGCACACAAATCACTGGGGGTCTTGTTAGAATGCAGATACTAGAGCAGCAGGTCTAGGGTGGAACCTGAGATTCTGCATTTTTAGTAAGTTCCCAAATAATGTCCATGCTGTTAGTCCAAGACCGCACTTGGGGTAATACACTTAGAGGCTCTGTCTTAGAACCTGCCCTTTATTAGGTTGAAAAAGTTCTTTTCTCTTTCTAGTTCATTGAGTGGTGGTCTTTTCTTTCTTTCTTTCTTTTTTTAATGAAGGAATATTGGAACATTATCCTTTTTTTTTTTGGCAGTCTCACTCTGTCGCCCAGGTGGGAGTGCAGTGGCATGCTCATAGCTACCACAGCCTTGACCTGCTGGACTTAGGCGATCCTTCCACCTCAGCCTTCCAAGTAGCTGAGACTACAGGTGCACACCACAATGCCCTGCTAATTTTTTTGACTTATTATAGAGACAAAGGCTCACCATGTAACCCAGGCTCATCTTGAACTCCTGGGCTCAGGCAGTCCTCTCACCTAGGTCTCCCAAAGTGCTGGGATTAGAGGCATGAGACACCACACCTGGCCTGGAACCATTATCTTTTTGTGTACTTCACCCTTTTCTTTCTAGTCTCTCTTCTAGGATTCTGATTAGATGTATTTTAGACTTTTTCATTCTGTCCCCTGTATCTCTTGAAATCATATCTTCCAGTTCCACATCTCTCCATTCTGTAATTTAGGTAGCTTCATTCCTGTTTCAGTTTATTGTGTCTAATCAGCTATGTTAAAAAATTCTATTTGGTTCTCCTTCAAATATGGTTGGTCATTTTTAATAAGCTCTTATTTTATGATCTTTACCAAAAAACAGTGACTGGATGTAGTGGCTCACGTTTGTAATCCTAGCACTTTGGGAAGCCTAGGCAGGAGGATTGTTTGAGCCCAGGAATTCAAGACCAGCCTGGGCAACATAGTGAGAGATCTTGTCTCTACAGAAAATTTAAAAATTAGCCAGGCATGGTGGTATGCACCTATAGTCCCGGCTACTTGTGAGACTGAGGCAGAAGGATCTTCTGAGCCCAGGAGTTGGAGGCTGCAGTGAACTGTGATCGTGCCACTGCACTCTAGTCTGGGCTATAGAGTGAGACTCTGACTAAAAAACAAAAACAGAAAGATAGGAAGAAAAGCAGTTTTTTGAGGTATAATTTACATATCATATATTTTACCCATTTAAAGTGTGCAACTCAGTGGTTTTTTAGTATATTCACAAATGTGTGCAATCATCACCACAGTAAATTTTAGAACATTTCATTCTCTGCTTTTTTTCCTCCTAAATATTTTAGTGTTTATGTCTTAAGAGCAAGGATATTACTCTCTTATGTAATCATGATACAATAATCAAAATTAGGAAAATTAATAGTGATGCAATGTTATTATTTAACCCAAAGTTTCTACTCATCTTTTGACAATCGATGTCCTTTATTGCTAGTCTCCTCCCATTTTGCCCAGTCCAGAATCCAGTCTGAGATCACACATTACATTAAGTTGCCATGTCTTATTTGTTTGTTTGTTTGGAGTTGGGGTCTAATTCTGTTGCCTAAGCTAGAGTACAGTGGCATGATCATGGCTCACCACAGCCTCAAACACCTGGGCTCAAACAATCCTTCTACCTTAGCCTCTTGAATAACTAGAACTACAGGTACCATCATACCCAACTGATTTTTAAAAATTTTTATAGAGATGCGGTCTCTACAAAAGGCTGGTCTCAAACAATCCTCCAATCTCAGACTCCCTAAGTACTGGGATTACAGGCATGAGCCACCACGCCTGACTTCCATGTCTCCTTTAATCTGGAACAGTTCCTCAATCTTCCTTGTGTTTCATGATTTTTGAGCAATACAAGCCAGTATTTGGTAGAATGTTCCTTGGTTTGGGCGTGTCTGAGGTGTTCATGTGATTTAAATTCAAGTTATGCATTTTTGGCAGGAATACCACAGAAATAATGTTATGTTTTTCTTGGTGCTTCAGGAGGCACATGATATTGTTTTGTACCATTATTGGTGAGGCTAACTTTAATCAGTTGGTCAAAGTCATCCTGTATTTTGAATAAAAGGAAAAAAGATATTTGACTTTGTTGAAAGAACTTCAAAAGTTTTATTGTTTATTTTTTTACATGAATATCCTGCCTAAGTTTTATTGTCAATTTTAAATTATTTTAAACTTGCTTTAACTAGTACAAGTTACTTCAAGATCATAGAAAGGATCTTGAACCAAAATGATAGATCATGGAACCAAAATTATTTGCAGTTATCATATGAATTTCTCTCTTGATATCCCAGAAAAATCTTTCATTTTCCTTAGTTACTTTCAAAGCCTCAGGTAAACACCTAAATTCTAAATCATTAAATGGAGGAATTCAGTATTTCTACAGGTCAAAATTCTATTCTTTAGACCTCTCAGTCTCTAGAATTCTCAGTCTCTAGAACTCTCTGCATTGGCCATTTTTAATGTTTAAGACATGCCCATGCACAAATGTTTTATGTAGACATTACCCTTGAACCATTCCATGCTCTTTTGATTACATCTTATAGTTATTTAAATCCTTCATATATTTTTATATAGGAAATATATAAGATCAGATTTTTCTTTTTCTTTTTCTTTTTTTTTGAGACAGGGTCTCACTCTGTCACTCAGGCTGAAGTACAGTGGCATGATCCCAGCTCACTGCAGCCTCGACCTTCTGAGCTTATGCAATCCTTCCTCCTCAGGCTCCTGAGTAGCTGAGAGTATAGGTGCACACCACAGGGTCTCACTATGTTGCCCAAGCTGGTCTTGAACTCGTGGGCTCAAGCAATTCTCCTGCCTTGGCCTCCCAAAGTGCTGGGATTACAGGCATGAGCCATTACGCCTGGCCCAGATTTTTCAAAGGCAAAATCTGTTCCTAGGCTCAAGCGATGCTCCTGCCTTGGTTTCCCAAAATGCTGGGATTACGGGCATGACCCACTATGCCTGGCCCAGATTTTTCAAAGTCAAAATTTGTTTCCTATTTTCTCATGGTAGATTTTATATGTGTGTGTGTGTGTGTGTGTGTGTGTGTGTGTGTGTGTGTGTGTGTGTACGTGTACGTGCATGTATGTTTAAATCATGAACTTTTATTTTATTGTATTTTAGTTCAAGGAATCCTAAATTGAAATTACTTTCCTCCTGAAAGTGTTTGCACTTGCTTTTTGCAATTAGCTATAAGGCATTACCAACCCAAGACCATTTTAGCCCTCTTCAAGAATTCCAACTGTGGCTGGGAGTGGTGGCTCATGCCTATAATCCCAGCACTTTGGGAGGCCAAGATAAGAGGATAGCTTGAGCCCAGGGGTTTGAGACCAGCCTAGGCAACATAGTGAGACCTTGTCTCTACAAAAAATTGGCCAGCATGGTGGTGTGCATCTGTAGTCCCAGCTACTTGGGAGGCTGAGGTGGAAGGATTGCCTGAACCCAGAAGATCAAGGCTACAGTGGGCTGTGATTGCGCCACTGCACTCTATCCTGAAAGACAGAGTGAGATCCCAACTCAAAAAAAAAAAAGAAAGAAAGAAAGAAAAGAAAAATAATTTCAGCTTAATGTGGAAGCTTCAGATTCAGTCTCCTACTTTGTGGGGAGTCTGGATCCATCTCCGTATTCCAAGCTAGCTATAGCATTTATGTCTTTATAACCCATGTTTCTGTTTTAGCCCACTTTTCCTGCTTTCTAAGAGCCTGGCAATGCATTAAAAGGGTAGAATTTGTGAGCATCGAATTGATTGCAGTTGCAGAGAGAGTGTCCTTCTAAGTACCTGGATCCAAACTCCTCAGGAGACAGAACCCTCTTGTTTTCTTTTTGAACCTATTCCCTGCCAGAAACTCTGCACACATACTCCCTGAATCTAATTTTAAAAAGAAACATACATGCATCCTTTTAAATATGCCTGCCAGGCCATTTAAAAATGGTTTACATATTTTTTTTTTTAAGAGCTAGAGTCTCCCTATATTGCCCAGGCTGGTCTTGAATTCCTGGTCTCAAGCAATCCTCCCACCTCAGCCTACCAAGTATTGGGAGTCATAAGCAACCACCCCCAGCCTACACTTTCTCTAGGATGAAAGAATAAAAAGCTTTGAATGGAATGTTATTTCTCACAGAATTGGGCTAGTCAAAGGAAATCCTTGTCCAAAAACTGTGATGTTTGCAGAAAGAATGATAGGGTGAATGTGAGTGGCCTGGCTTCTGAGTCCCTGTTAAGTCTACACTTCCTAATCATTTCCTGTTTTCTCTCCTTTTCTGTGTACAGCATAATTACTTGAAAACCATGATGGGTCTCCAGCAGGCACATAGAAAATAGAGCCATCACCAGTACCTTAAAGAACAAGACCAGTCACTCCAACCTTCTCTAGCTGCTAAACCACTTGCCCAGAGCTCCAACCACTCTACTCCAAGGACCCAGCCCAGAGAACACACAATGGCTTGCCTGCTAGGAGGAGCATCCTCCAAGGGATACCCTTGTTCATCTCCATAGATCATTTTTGGTTTTAATTCACTTCCTATATCCAGGGACAGATAAAAGAACTTTCGAGTTTGGACTTATAGTGCTCATTCAAGAACTTTGTTTTATTTTCTGTCTGAACGAATATCTTCTATATGTACAGGTGGGGTCAGAACTGAGTCTCAAGTAGGAAAGCAAAAATGTACCTCTGCCAGGTTCCTCCTGGCAGGCCTCTGTCCCATTGGTCAGCTTTTTTCCTGGATGGACATCCTGGGGTGAGCTTGGTCTGAGGAGCCCTGCTTCTCACAGCTCCCTCAGAACCTGAGTTCTCTCGGGGCATCCCTGCTGTGTTCCTGAATAAGTGAGGGCAGGAGTAAGTCTTCCTTCCTTGGCAACTAGGAGAGAAAGGGATGAGGCAGAGTTGGGTCCATGTGCGAGCTTGGGAGTGAGCAGCTTCTGGGAGTCATGCCCTCTACATGCTCCCAGAACATCACAGCCTTCCCCAGCATGTGTGGGTGTGTCACCCTCCCTCTCTCCCTCATTCTCTTCTGACTCACCTCCTTTTCTCTCTCATATGTAGCCTGCAAATAAGCACAAGCGAACGTGGCCAGTTTACCCTGGATAGGAACAGGAATCACACTGTTAGGACTGAGTAGGGAAGAGAAAAGACATTACAGTCAGGTTCTCAGACTGCAGCTTGTGCTGTTGTTTAGTGGCACCAAAGGGAAAGAGTTCAGAAAAAGTTCCAGAGCTTCCTTGGAATCTTCTCTCTCACACCTACTTCTGTTCTCGTGGGTCAAAGCATGCTCCTGTACTCTGTGAGTGTTCTGTCCATCTGATACCCTCATCAACTCCTTGATGTTACTGTGATGGGGCTAACTGAGAGAAGAGGTTCTGATCACCTGACAGCCCTATCATTGGAAGCTGTGAGAGAAAGCTATTCAGATCACATCTAGTGGGTGATGTCCTGCACTGGGACCATTTGATACAAGGACAGATGGAAAGAATCAGGTCTTTTTACCTGAAGAGGAAGAGATATGTGACAGAGGCCCACATTGGTCTGCCAGGTGGAATTTGACTTGTGTGGTCCTAAAATGTGGGCTGGATGAATAGGAGTAAACATTTTTCCAAAAGGTGGAAATGACTGAAAGCCAGACTGTTATCTCAAAATAAGCAGAGGCTTAAAATGAGAGCAGTCCTAGCATGAAGTGGGTAGTGAGAGCTCTACAGCAGTGATCTGTCTGGCAAGGAGGTGGCACCCGGTGGAAAGTTGAATTGGATGGGGTCCAGCCAATCAAAGACCCCATAATTCTGTTCCTCAGTTCATCATCAGATGGATATAGGTTGTACTGAAGAGAAAAAGCAAAAAGCATTTCCTTGAGTTCTCTGTCTTCTCTGCTCTCCAGCCCCTTTCTCTTTCATTGGCTAATATACAGTAGTCCTGAATCAACTCTCAGAGACTTTTACCAGAGACCTTGGGCAGAGGGTTCTGATTCTTTCTCCCTTCTTGGCTGTCCCTACTTTCATGAGGACTTGTTTGGGTTCCCAGGTCTTTGGGACTTCTCAGGAAACAGAACATGGCAAACAGACATCTGTGTAATCATCAATCCCTCTTTCCTTCAGTTCCTGTTTCTGGCTGGAATGGCATGGCCCTACTGGATGTTCTATCTACAGGAATTCTATCTACACTCACTCAGCCCTGGGGCCTATTGACAAGGTCAAGCTGGGCTTCTGTAATGGCACTTGGTCCTGGATGCTGTCACATTTGTCTCTGGTTCATTTGTCATCACACAGGCCTCTTTGGTCAGTTCTGGTAGAAACTGAAACATCATCAGGGTAGGCAAAACCACAGTAATAAGCCAGGATGGTGCCCAATAGATATCCCTCCACACAAACTCCTCACAGGAGCAGATGCTTCTAACATGACAGGAAGGTAAGGGGCATCGTTTTCACTCAAATGGGCCTGTCATTCCAGAAAATAATTCCTGCTGTTAATCTGATCATCCAAATCACCCCTGAAGGGACCTTCAATTCTAACACTGTGACAGATGTGATAACATTCTGAAAACATTCCTGTTACAAACAGACATGCTGACTAAAGAATAACATTCTTTTAAATACTGTTGACCTTTGAACAACATGGGTTTTAACTGTGTGGGACCACTTATACATGGGTGCGAAATCCATATATATAGAGGGCCAACTTTTCATATACACAGGTTCTGCAGGGCTAGCTACAGAACTTTATGCATGGATTTTGGTGTATTCTAGGAGTCCTGAATCCATTCCCTGTGTATACCAAGGGACCACTGTACAAAGTTAAATTTGCAGGAAAGAAAGGGAACTGCCAGGAGCTAGAGACAAAGAGGGAACTGATAACCAGAGTGGTCAGCATGTGAACTGGCTGTGACTGCTAGGGACCAGTAGAAGGTGTGTGAGTGAATTGTTACTCTTAGGTGTTAATGTCCACACAAGTATGAGAAATAAGACTTTGCCCCATGCCAGATAGAAATATGGAAATGGAACTCCCTGCACAAAGATGGCACCTTGGAGGCTTCATTCCAGAGGTGAGCTAGACATAGTTCCCCCACTGGCTTGGAGAAGTAATAAGGAAACATTGCCTAGGGATGAAGGGGAAGTGGTTCTAAGAGAATTTGCAATCATGCACAGGTTTGGGATTCAAATTTATTCTGTGTGGTCCAGGAACCACCAGGCTGAAGAATTAGCATAAAAATAAGCCCCAGGCTGGTGATAACCCTGAAACATTTAGTAAAATCAAATTATAAATCTACTGTACATGCATTTTGCCTAGTCACAGAGTGTCTTCACAGAGAAAGCCCTAGTAAACATGAACACCAAAAATTATACACACACAACCTACTATAGTAGAGGCACAATGCAAGCAGAATCAGGCTTATAAGAACTTCATATTGAACTGGGGAAAGTGGCTCACATCTGTAATCCCAGCACTTTGGGAGGCTGCAGTGGAAGGATCTCTTGAGGCCAGGAGTTTAAGACTCGCCTGGGCAACACAGTGTGAGGTTGTCTCTTAAAAACAAAAAAAGAGAAGATGGCAGCTTTTAAAGGAGCAGAACTTATAGGAATGAAAAAAAAAAAGTCCTAAAAATTAAAATGGTAGAGTAGAAACAGTAACAATTAATGACCTGGAAACTGGATCTGAGGAAATTGCCTAGAATGCAGCATAGAGGGATGAAGAGATGGAAAATAGAAAACATGGGTAAGAGACATGTGGATAGAATGAGGAGATGTAATATACATCTAATCACAGATCCAGAAGGCGATAATAAAGAGATTACTCTCTTGGTGATCTCATCCAGTCTTATGGCTTTAAACATCATCTATATGGTGACTCCCAATTTAAAATATTCAGCCTAGATCACACTTCTGAAGCCCAAACCTGTATAATTAACTGCTTACTTGACATCTCCTCTTAAATGTCTAACAGACATCTACAAGTCAACATGGTCAAAACTGAATGCCTAATCATCCCCCTAAACATGCTTTACCTCCCTTATCTCAGCCTAATTGCCCAGGTTAAAATTCTTAAGTTTTGTACTTCACTCCTCTCTTTCTGTCACATCCCACATTGAATCTGCTAAGAAATTCAGTAGGCTTTATCTTCCTGCTATATTCAAAATCTGACCACTTCTCAGTACTTCTACTGTCCCTACCCTGATCTAAGCTATCACTATAATCTCTTGCCAGGGTACTGCAACAGCTTCCTGTCTCCCAGTTTCCTTTTTGCTCTCTTATAGTCTATTTCCAGAACAGCAGCCTGGTTGATACTTTTGAAATAAGTTGGATCATGTCACACTTCTCAAACTTTTCATTGCTTCCTATTTCCTCTCAGAGTGAAACCCAAGATCTTAAGACAGTCCACAAAGTCATATATAATCTTATTTATTTATTTATTTTGGAGTTGGGGTCTCACTGTATAGCCCAGATTGGAGTGCAGTGGCAAGCTCATAACTCGCTGCAACCTTCAACTCTTGGGCTCAAGCAATCCTCCTATGTTAGCCTCCCAAGTATTTGAGACAGGTACGTGCCACAACACCTGACCAATTTTTATTTTTATTTTTGGAGAGATGAGGTCTTGCTGTGTTGCCTAGGCTGGTCTCAAACTCCTGGTCTCAAACTCCTGGGCTCAAGCAGTCCTCCTGCCTCAGCCTCTCAAAGTGCTGGAATTGCAGGCATGAGACACCATGCCCGGCCCATATATAATCCTGACTCTTGTGTTTACTCTCATCTCCTTTACTCTCCTCCTTGCTCACTCTACTCCAGCCACATGGGCTTCCTTACTATTCCTCAAATTCCAGGCAGCTTCTGCTTCAGAGCCTTTGCAATGGCTATTCCCTCTGCCTGTAATATTCTTCCCCCACATATCCACATGACTCACTCCCATACTTCCTTCAAGTTCTTGGCTAAATGTCATCTTCTGTAGCAGCTGTCATGCCTTGATCACAGTCCCTTGCACATGCCATTTCTGCGAATGGCTTCCTATTGAAAGCACCTACAACTTCTACACAAAGGCTTTCTCAGCATGGTGCTCATCTGCTTCAGGGTGGCCTTAAATGCCAGGGAGGGCTTAAATGCCAGGGAGTTAAATGCCAGGAAGTCAACCAATGAGTCAGTGGATGAGTATCTTCCTTTCTCTTGGATTGGACAACTCTGAGGCATGTTCTCCACTGTTTCCTAGGACTTCCTAATATAAACACACATGAATGGAACCAAAGGAAAAAAAAATAGTTGTTATATTGTTAGTGGGATTGTCAATGAGGTGACAACATCTTAAAGTATTTAAAGCTGTCTTAGTAATGTTATATGTTTTTTAATATGTATTATGGAAATGTAATGAAACTAGTTGAATGAGTATAGAACCCAAGTTTTCGTTCTAGAGGTCTGAGATTCAAGGTAGTACAAAAAGCTCTGGAGTTCTCCATTTATTTGTTTGTTTATGTACTTATTTATTTAATTCATTTTAGAGACAGAGTCTTTGTCACCTGGGCTGAAGTACACAATCATGGGTCACTGCAGCTTTGACTTTTTGGGCTCAAGCAGTTCTCCCACCTTAGCCTCTAA